ATGATGTTTCTGCTAATCGCATGCACATAGTAACAATTACTTAATTCTAAAACAAATCCAGAAGGAAGATGCAAATCATAAACGTCAACACACAATACAGCAATTCTTGCTCCATTTCCGACGCGCAGATCCGCTTCTCCCTTAGCTAGCATCCTACTTCTTCTTAGTCCTGTTCCGGCGATTGCCGAGGAGAGCGGGGGATGTGCGTTGCACATGGAGCGTCCTTACCCACGTGTGTGATGCACACGTGGAGATGATTTGACGGTACGGTTATTACTGAGAGACCCGATGGGTCGAGTTATGACTCGTGTACATATGTCCTGGACTGGTGAGACCAGATCCTTGCGGTATCCTATGTGTGCGATGCACATAGAGATGATTTGACGGTTATGTCCGATGATACATCATGCGGACTGAGTGTGTGTGAAAAGTGAATTAATTGTGCGATTGAGTGAACTGTGTTTTCCTGGCATGAAGTGTGTATATATCTGGCATCGAGAGGTGACATCGATGTCAGAGGGGATGGTTGATGTATTATGTTTTATGGAGTAGGGATTTGGATGGCGTGTTTTATTGTTCCGGCGATTGCCGAGGAGAGCGGGGGATGTGCGTTGCACATGGAGCGTCCTTACCCACGTGTGTGATGCACACGTGGAGATGATTTGACGGTACGCCAACGTTCCACTAGCTATGGAACGGGATCGGGATTGAGTGATTCTCCCGGCAGAGACTGGCAATACATTTACCCGTGACTCGGGATTGAGCGATTCTCCCGACGGGGTTATGCGAAGGAACTCAGAAAGACCTGAGCTCGGGTCCGATGAGTTTCTCCGTGGCGGACGGCCGGCGAGAGGTTGTTAGTTGTGTACTGACTTCGCTCGACATAGTCGGTGGTGGCCTGGTGGGGGCACCTGGCGCTCTGGCATCGAGAGGTGACATCGATGTCAGAGGGGATGGTTGATGTATTATGTTTTATGGAGTAGGGATTTGGATGGCGTGTTTTATTGTTCCGGCGATTGCCGAGGAGAGCGGGGGATGTGCGTTGCACATGGAGCGTCCTTACCCACGTGTGTGATGCACACGTGGAGATGATTTGACGGTACGGTTATTACTGAGAGACCCGATGGGTCGAGTTATGACTCGTGTACATATGTCCTGGACTGGTGAGACCAGATCCTTGCGGTATCCTATGTGTGCGATGCACATAGAGATGATTTGACGGTTATGTCCGATGATACATCATGCGGACTGAGTGTGTGTGAAAAGTGAATTAATTGGGCGATTGAGTGAACTGTGTTTTCCTGGCATGAAGTGTGTATATATGTATATACTTATATCTAGTGTGTGTATAATATTGATTGTGTTTGGCCATTTGCAATTTGAGTATGATCTTCGGGTCTAACCCGAAGTACTCACTAAGCACGTAGCTTATGGACGTTGTTATGCAACGTTTCAGGCACGGAGCAGTATTGGCAGCAGCAGGACGAGGATACTGGTGACGTGTGAGGAGCTATCTGGATCATGTACCTTTCTTTCTTTGGACTTATGTTGGTTTGTACGGGCGGTGACCTGACTTTGTATTTTATTACAGTTACCGTCCTTATGTTGGTGTGTATACTACTGTACGTGGGTTTGTAAACATATACTGGTTTTTGCGCTGCGTGTGTAATAAAATAAAATGTTTTTAAATTCCCGCTATTTTATTATATATATTTGGGCGTCCATGTGGCACAACTCGTGAGCGGGAGACGGGTTACGGGTGTCACAGTGCCTCTCCCCGGTATTGTACCATCACTTTTGGTGATTTCGTGATATCTCTATTTAATTATTCATTTTTAAATAATTAAATATTCGAATCGGGTTTCGGGGTATTACATGCGGAATCGCCCAAATCTACCCGTCTTGTAGAGCGTCTGATGGTATCTCCTAACATCCCTCTTGCCTTAGACATCTTAGCAATCTGCATCTCTAGGGTGTCAAAGGGAATGTCATATGCACTCCCTTCACAAGGTACGTCCATCCATACTCTAGTATCGTCTCTCAGTCCGTGGATGAACGTGGAAAGCAACAGTCGCTTATCCATGTTGTGGTGTGGACAAAGGCGCTGATAGCCTTTGAATCTCTCCCATGCATCGTATAGACTCTCATCACTCTCTGTGCAACTCGGGTCTTCTCTGGGGAGTAGTATTTGGCCATGAATTGCCCCTCTAACTCCTCCCATGTCGTAATCGAGTTCGGTTCAAGAGTGTAGAGCCAATCTCTCGCCCAGTCC